TTTAATATAATCTTTTACCTTTTTATAGAAAGAAAGAACTATATCTTTAAAAGGGAGTTAGTAAGTAGCTATAATAGTATCTACCTTTAAGGCCTTATTAGCCTTAATAATAAGCTTCTATAGGTAAAGAGATTAAATCTCTTCTAAATAGGAGTAGTAGCTAACTAGTATCTTAGTATTATAGTAGGCTAGAACTAGCTTTACCTAGGGGCCTAGGGGCTTCTAAGCTACCTCTATATAAGAAGTAAGCTAAGGATTACTTACTAGGTATTCCTAAAGGGCCTTTATTATAATATATTAAATAGCCTTAAAGGGGATAAGCTTTATATTTATAATAGCTATCTCTTTTTATATAGTATAGATAGAGTTTATAAGTTTTTATACCTTATTAAGACTTTTTTATAGTATTAAAAAGAGTATTTTTTTTAAGTCTTCTTTAAAGATTCCTAATAGGAGCTAGGCTAGGTATATACTATCTATATATAGGTATTACCTCTAGATAGGTTCTATAACTATATTTTTAATATTTCTACTTATAGTTACTATACCTATAAGCTAGGTACTTTCTAGGTTTATAGACTAACTAGTTATTAAGTTAACTTACTTACTAGACTTATTTTTTATATTTTAGCCTATAGGTAGGTATAGGGTAGGTTAGGCCTAGTATCTACTTATAAAGATATATAATTTACTAATAATAAAATCCTAATATATAGTAAAAGGCTTTAATTAATATAAAAGACTTAATTACTATAAAATATTTATAAATATACTAAAAATTTTAATACTATACTTACTACTAGTAATTATAACTACCTTAGACTTTAAGATTAAATAAATAGATATTAAAACTACTTTTCTTTATAGTCTTATAGATACTAAAGTCTATATTAAAATACTTAAAGGATATTAAGAAGAATACCTTAAGAAAGTATAAAAGCTACTAAAGTCCTTATATAGGCTAAAGTAAGCCTTATAGATCTAGTATATAACCCTTTATAAAACGCTTTAAAGTCTTAGTTTTAAGCTTATATAGCTTAATTATTCCTTATTTATCTATAAAGATAACCTAATTATTATAGTTTATATTAATAATCTTTTTATTATTAGTAAGAATAAGGTTACTATTATAGAGATTAAGAAAGCTTTATTAAATACTTATAAGATAATAGATATAGGCCTTATTAACTACTATCTTAGTATTAATATCTATTAAGATTAATATATAAAAACCTTTATACTCTTTTAAAGTAAATATACTAAAGCCTTTTTAAAAGAAGTTAGCCTTTTTAACTATAAACCTTATAACCTATTAATAAGTCTTACTACTAAAAATATTAAATAATAGCTAACTATTAAGAATAGTTAGTATATTAAGACCTATAAAAGCCTAATTTATCTTTCTAACTACTCTAAGCCTAATATCTCTTTTATTATTAGCTATTACTATAGATTTATAATTACCTTACTAATAGAATATATTACTAGCCTAAAATAGCTTTTATAATATATTAAAGGTACTATTAACTATAAACTTATTTTTATAGGACTTAATAAAGGACCTTAAGTTTATTATAATACTAATTATACTAGCTATTAATAAATATATAAATCTATTAGTAGCTTTATTATTACTTTAAAGAGTAATATTATATCTTAATACTTAAGGCTATAAAATATTATTATACTTTTAACTACTAAAGTAGAGTATATCTTTTAATATAATATAGCCTAAGAAGCTATTTAGATTTAATAGTTTTACTATATTATTATAAAAACCCTTAAAGAAAAGCCTACCTATATTAAGATTACTATTTAGGCTAATAACTTTAATACTATTACCTAAGCTTTTAATATTTAAGAATACCCTTATATAAAGTATATAGATATTTAATATTATTAGTTATATAATAAGAATATACTATACTAGTTAAGCTTTAGTTAAATTCTAAATATTAAAAATATTATTAATATTATAATTAAGTTACTATTAAAACTAGCTTTTTATAAGTATAGGTACTACCTAGGACTATACTAAATACTTCTTAAGCTATAATTTTCTAGAAGTCTATTCTAAAAGTATTATACTTCTAAGGCCTCTAGTCTTTAGGGTATTATCTACTAAAGCTATTCTATAAGTATTATAGTTAATTAGCTTTATACCTCTAGGGTATTACCTTTTATAAGTATTATAATAGGCTTTTTATTAGTACTATTAGTATTAGCCTTTAAGGTATTATTTACTAAAGGCTAGCTAGCTTTTTATTAATACCTTTATTAGTATTAGCCTTTAAGGTATTACCTTTTAAAGGCTAGCTAGCTTTTTATTAATACCTTTATTAGTATTAGCCTTTAAAGTATTACCTTTTAAAGGTTAATAAGCTTTTTATTAATATTTCTATTAATACTAGCCTTTAAGGTATTACCTACTAAAAGCTAGCTAGCTTTTTATTAATATCTTTATTAATACTAGCTTTTAGGGTATTACCCTTTAAAGGCTAGTAAGCTCTCTATTTACTATTATTTTATTACTTTTAGGATTATTATAAGCTAACTAGTATTAAGCCTTTAAGGTATTACTTTTTAAAGGTATTATAGTAAGCCTTTTATAATTATAAGTTATAAGGCTTTATAAGTCTTATAATTATTAAGGCTCTTTTTATAGCTTATTACTATTTTATTACTTTTAAGACTATTATAAGCTAACTAGTACTAAGTCTTTAAAGTATTATCCTTTAAAAGTATTATAATAAGCCTCTTATAGTTATAAGTTATAAGGCTTTATAGGTCTTATAGCTATTAAGGCTTTCTTATA